AGAAGACGAAAACACGTAGGAATTGAAATTGAACTTGTAAACCATCGTCATAGACGCAAATCAGTAGCAACAAAAACAAAAAACAGGTTCGCAATCAAAATAAACGCAAAACCAAGTGCGAGCATTTTCTTCCTCGAAAATGACTGAAATAATGTATAAGCAACGATAGAAGTGGAAAATCCAAGAGGTTACCAGCAGCAGGAATGCAAGAGGGAGGAGAAATGTGAGAAAATCGATTGAAAGAGAGCAATGGAGAAGGCGGAGCCGGCGATAGGAAGGGAGCGAACATTGTTATTGAATTTATACATAATCCTCTCATGTTATTCAACGTTTCTCATTCAACTGTTATATGTTCTCTCTTTTAGGGCTTAGAGAGATTTCATTCTTTTTTTCTCCTTTTCTTTTTTTTTATTTATTCCCTCCTAAATCCTATACGATGTAAAAAGCCCAGTTCAACCTTTTACTCTAGGCTGGAGGACGGCTACACCTATTTTTTCTTTTCCCCATTAAATTTAATTATTATTTTTTGTATCTATTAATTTAAAATTTAATTTTAATAAAACTAAAATATTTATTTATTTATTTTTAAACCGTTTATTAATTTAAATGTATATTTTTTTAAAAATTATCTTTCAAATAATTAAAAATTTTAATTATTTTAAATTGCGGTTAGAGAATAAATTGTTATAAAATAAATAAATATATGTATAGATATATATTATAAACAAAAATATAGATCTTCAAATTAACAAATTTTGTAGGTATTAGAAAGTTTGAAAAAAATGAATAATTAAATATAAAATAAAATCTTATATTTTAATTAGATTTAAACTAAAATTTGTGTTTAATTAGATTTAATTTTCTTTTTTTATGTTAGTAAGTATATCCATAGATGAATGTATTATAAGAAAAATAAATTTTACGATTGGTGAATATTTAATGGCTTATTTTCACATTAACACTACTATATATATAATATAAAGTGATTCATCACAAAAATAAAATAATTTTAAAATTTTTTAAAGGTAAAAAATATTAGTACTATTTTAAAATTTTATATTTTAACTAGATATAAAATAATTAAATAATTGATGTCAAAATAATTAAATATAAAATAAAATTTTATATTTAAATTAAATTTAAACTAAAATTTGTGTTTAATTAGATTTAATTTTCATTTTATATCCAATGGATGAATGTTTCTGAATAAAATAAAATTTTAAGAAGGGTGCATATTTAATGATTTATTTTCACATTAACACTACAAAATAAATAAATATCAATAAAAGATATTCATCACAAATAAAATATTTTTTAACAAAAAAAATAATAATAAATATATATATATATATATATATATATATATATATAAAAGATATTCATCTCAAATAAAATAATTTTTAAATTTTGTTAAAGATAAAAAAATATTAATACTATTTTTAAACCCTATATATATATATTTTATTATTATTATTATTATTATTATTATTATTATTATTTATGTTACTTTTAAAATTTTATACATATATATTAATAAAAAATTTAAACCGTTCAAACATATTTTTAAGATAAAATGCTAAATTTCTTTGTTAAATTCAAGATTATGTTATCTCTTGTTTTACAAGATCATTCAACAAATTAGAATGAATGTTTTTTGTTGTATAAATAGCCTTTCTTCGAACGCCAATATCATCTCTCTCACAGAAATACATGCTTCTTTAGTTAATTCTTCCAAAGGTTTTAATGGAACATCTGATCACTCCACGTTTAACCACGAATATCTTATCAATACAAGTTAGAGCTTCCCCTCCCAACCTTCAACAACCACTTCCCCCTCAAACCCTTCAACAAATCAGCCTCAAATTCCGTGTCGAAGTCAAATGCCGTCACATCCAAGTAGCCAATGACAACACCGTAATTTCCTTCACCGCCCATAGATACCGACGCCTTCCTTTCCCAATCTGCCAGCTTCCTCTCGCCATTGTCGAACGCGACCACAGCCCTGCGTTGCAAAATCGCTTGTCGGTGCACTTCGCTGATTTTAGCGAGCTCGTTGATCCTAAGATGGTAGCGGATGAGATCAAACGGAAGTGGATTGAAATTCGAGAGAGGGAAGATTTGAATGCGTTTGGGAGTGTTTTTCGTCTGACTGTTACGCTGAAAGTTTGGAATATCGGGATGTTTTACAATAGACGAGTGGAAGATGGAGTAGTGGGTTGTGATCGGAGTCGTGGTATCGAGATGATGTTGACGAGGGTGAGAATTGAAGAGATTGAAAGTGATGATGTTTGTGTGATTTGTTTGGAGGAGTTGAAGAGGAGGAAGAAATCGCTGGTGGGAATGCCTTGTTTTCATGTTTTTCATCGGAATTGCATTGTCCAGTGGTTGGCTGATACCAATACCTGTCCCGTTTGTAGATTTCAAATGCCGAGGAATCATAGGCCCTAGAGGAGGATCTATGTACTTTGTTCGTGAGGAAAATTTTTGGGAGAGATCCCACATTACCTTATTAAGAGGTTGATCATGAGTTTATGAGTAAGGAATAAATTTTTATTTGATGAGGCATTTCGGGGAAACCCGAAACAAAGCTATGAGAGCTTAAGAGTAGACAATAACATACCATTGTGGAAGTATTCCTAACAATTAATTGTTCCATGATTAAATTTCAATAAGATATTATATGCACGTTACCATCACTTGCATGAAATTTACTCTATCGTACTCTCAAAATTAAGCAAAAACGACAGTTCTATCAAATAATAACTATGAAAAGTCCAAAACGTTTCTAAAAATAACTGTAAAGACTATTGAAATTGAGAATTTAAGGCTTTTTTTTTATACATTTAGTGATATATTAAGATATATCTATTATTGATATACTTTAAAATATGATATACTCTTCAATTTAAACTTAGGAGAGTAGATAGAGCCTCAGGCCATAACCTCAGAAGTCGAGGTTTTGATATGAATTTCGACATGTAGTTCAGGAGTTAAAGCTGTCTATATAAAAAAATGAAAACATGCCAAATTTGGTGCCAATTGAACACCTGATGGATGCTCCACGAGGCCATTTGATTACTCCAAAAAAAAATCAAATATGCCTAAAAATGTACTATAGGGAGCATGGTATCAACTCTTAACCACCGCTAGGCCATGTAGTCTAAGTGAACTACTCACATACGTTTGTCACAACGAGGGCAAGCACGAGTGTCTTAAACATCTTCCTTTGAAATGAGTTTTTCCAGGACAGTGTCGAATGACACGAGTATGCCAACATTGCACTCCAACCCATATGTCGAATGTTGATCTATATATTCGCTATTTAGTATGGTATCTTTAAATGACTCGACATAAACATAAACACAAAAAGATTGGTATTTTTTTAAGAGGGAAGAAGAAAATTCCAAATGATAAACGTCTTTCTAACACCCAAATGGCAATCTTTATCTCTTGAACCTTTTTTTATTCATAAAACACTTAGCTTTTTGAGTTCCCATCCCATTTGAGTCAAAATGCTCTGTCCCATCCCACCACTTACAACTCCATTTTGAGGTTCCTTTACAGATTAGAGGTTCTTTTTTGCACTGCTCTCTCTCTCTCTCACACTATCTCATGCGACTTGCAATCCACCATAATGTTTGGTTCCATTGTCTTTTAACCGCATGCTCGATAGAAAATGAAGTATAAAGAATATGTGAGCGAAGATAAAATACACGGCAAAGAATCTTTGTTATATGAATACTTTTTACCTTCATAAGTCGTTTGAGATATGTAAAGTGACGTGAATAAATACTAAAGCTACGTGTCGAACACCGATTCTAAGTCTATCACACTTTTTTGTGCTAGTTTCTTAATTTTAGTTCCAATGCTCGGTAGCCCTACTTGGGAAAATGAAGCAGATGCACTAACATTTTTGACAAATCTGATCTGACTGATATGGAGATTATAAAATCTTATTTGTTTTAGTTTCTCTAGAACAAGAGAACCCCATTATTCTATAGTATCCACACTGTCTCTCTAAGTCACATGAGGCTCAAACTTTGTGATAGAAAATCGAGAATATCTTGTTCTATTATATAGTCCACCGCTAGTAAATATTGTTCATTTTGGTTCGTTACGTATCGCCGTCAGCTTCATAGTTTTAAAACGCGTCTACTAGAGATAGGTTTTCACACTCTTATAAAAAATGTTTTGTTCTTCTCCAACCGATGTGGGATCTCACAATCTACCCCTTTTGGAGGCACAACGTCCTCGATGACATACCGTCTGGCTCTGATATCATTTGTAACCGCGAAAGTCCACTACTAGCAGATTGCCAGCCTTCTCGCTATTCCTCGATGGGGGTAGACATGAGGCGGTGTGCCAATAAAGACGTTGAGTCCCGAAGGGAGGTGGATTTGGGAATGGTCCCACATCGATTAGAGAAAAGGCCAGCGAGGACGCTGGGCATCGAAGTGGGTGGATTGTGATAGTCCCACATTAGTTGGGGAAAATAACAGAACACCATTTATAAGGGTGTGAAAACCTTCCCTTAGCATACTCGTTTTAAAGCCTTGAGGGGAAGCTCGAAAGAGAAAGTCTAAAGATAACAATATTTGCTAGCGGTGAATCTGGGCCGTTACAAGCAGATATTGTTCGCTTTGACTTGTTATGTATCATTCCCTCCTTCAACCAATGTGTGATCTCATCTGCCGTGTCAAACCAAAATACCTAATTAGCAAAGGTGATCCATATGCACCATACCTTCCGACTACCTTATTACAACTCTACCTTTAACATCTCCCTCCTTGGGGTTAGAGTATTGGATTCGGACATGATCAGCTACCATAGCAAAACAGGTCACCAGCAAGAGCAAGGTTGTTGTATGTGAAAGAATGAGAGACAGAAGGACAGAGCAAAAGATTCACGGGCAGCTCCAAACAAACCACAGGGAGTGTTGAATTTCTTGGGTACTCTTTTAACTTTCTCTACCTCTCTCTCTCTCTCTCTCTCTCTCTTCCAACATTTTTATATCCCAAAACTGCAACCTGTCTTGTGTTTGTGGCTTGCATTCAATCTGCACCCGTGAACTCTAACTCATTCATTCTCGTTCATTCTCTAATTACGACTCCCCTTTCCACCTAATGCCATTAAGCTGTATATAAACGGAAGCCCATTCCACTCCGTTACCAATTCCATTTCCTCCCTTCAAATGATGTCGAGACTTCAGCGGCCTCCTCCTCCTCCTCTTCTTGTTCTTGTTCTTGTTCTTTTGCTGAGCCAGAGTCTCACCCTAACGCACTGCCATACCAAGGGACTCAAACCCAGGAGCTCGCCCAAGACTGCTCTTCCCGAGAATTCCACCACAACCCAATTCTCAGAGCAGCAATTTATGAAATGGGTCAAATTTGTCGGCAGTCTCCGACACTCTGTTTTCAGAACGGCGAAGAACAACCTTTTTTCTTCTTATACTCTCCATGTGGCTAAGAATCCGGCTGTCGGGGACTTCACGTCGATCCAAGACGCCGTCGATTCCCTCCCTTCAATCAATTTGGTCAGAGTCGTCATCAAGGTTCATGAAGGTGTATACACGTGAGTACAAATCTTATTAAGAGTGCTCTGTTTTTTGTTTGGTTTCTTCTCTTGTCCTTTTCCCATTGCTGTAAGAACATTATTTGTGAATGTGGATTCAATTCAACAGAGAAAAGGTGAACATACCCCCGTTAAAATCATTCATAACAATCGAAGGAGCAGGCGCAGACAAAACGATTGTTCAATGGGGGGACACCGCACAAACACCAGGCCCAAAGGGGCAGCCAATGGGGACTTACAACTCCGCAACATTCGCAGTAAATTCCCCTTATTTCATAGCCAAAAACATCACATTCAAGGTAAACAAACTCCCAAAAAAAAACCCCATTCAAAATCGTTTCTTTCTTTTAAATCAAATCAAACTTGTGTATGAAACAGAACACAACCCCTGTTCCAGCACCAGGGGCAATCGGGAAACAGGCGGTGGCGTTCAGAATCTCGGCGGACACAGCAGCATTCTACGGCTGCAGATTCTTGGGAGCTCAAGACACACTATACGACCATTTGGGTCGGCATTATTACAAGGATTGTTACATAGAAGGGTCGGTGGACTTCATATTCGGAAACGGGCTGTCTCTGTTCGAGGGATGTCACGTGCACGCAATAGCGCAGAATGCAGGGGCGTTGACAGCGCAGGGGAGAAGCAGCCTGCTGGAGGACACAGGGTTCTCGTTCGTAAACTGTAAGGTCACGGGGTCTGGAGCGCTATACTTGGGGAGGGCATGGGGGCCCTTCTCTAGGGTCGTCTTCGCTTACACCTATATGGACAACATTATTCTCCCCAAAGGCTGGTACAACTGGGGCGATCCCAGCCGCGAAATGTACCCTTTCTCCTCCCCTCTCTTCTTCTTGCATTTCATTTCATTCACTCATTCATTCATACTCTCAAATTTAGCTTAAAATTGAACGAATTCGAAGCACAAAACATAAATCCAAAACAGAGCAGGAGAAAGCCGTAAGCTAAGCAAGCAGCAGCATCAGCGGCAGAGGCAGAGGCTGTCGTTTTCCTCCAACGTGGAATGGACTAAAAGCAAAACACTACAACTTAAATATTAAAAAAAAAAAAAACCAAACTTTTTAATACTTATAGTGGCTGAGAGACCACCGCCCCACCAGCGTCGCCGCCTCCGCCGCCCTCTGAGAGTGGAGGGTTTGGGCGGTGACATTTACCGATTTAACCGTCCATGATCTGTGACAGAGCATGCGCATTTAAGGAGATTTTTGTAATTTAGTAATGAGCTTGTTTAATGTTGCAGGACCGTGTTTTATGGGCAATACAAATGTACAGGCGAAGGAGCTAGCTTTGCCGGCAGAGTTTCATGGTCGAGAGAGCTCACTGATGAAGAAGCCAAGCCCTTCATTTCCCTTACCTTCATTGATGGCTCTGAATGGATCAAAATCTAATTTATTATTATTATTATTATTATTATCATACACATTTTAATTATTACTCATTAAACCATAATACATATATAATACGGGTTTTGCCTGTAATCTCTTGTATTTAATCAATAATAATATCATTTTTTTTTCTCTTTAAACCCTAAAATTAGTTCAAAATTACAATGATTGCCATTCCACCTACGAGAAAAATAAATTATTAAAATAAAAACATAAAGAAATGGGTCGGGTCTGACTTTGTTGGTGAGAGCATGTGATTGTGGAATGGCAAAAAGGGATACTTCATTCAAACAACTCTTAGTCTATGATAATATTATTAAAATATGATTTATTATTTTTTTTAAGGAGAGTTTTAATGTATTTTTTAAATTTAAAATATTATTTTTGAGGTTTTATTACCATTAATTAGTTGTAGACATGAAAGTTACGATATTGTCCATTTTAAGCCTCTCATGGCTTGGACTACTCAAAAGGCCTCATACCAATGGCGATAATATTACTCATTTGTAAACCCATGATATTTCACTAAATTAACCAATTTCAGACTCACTTCCAATAATCCTCAACACAAGATTTTAGATATTTATGCTTTTTATTCCTATATACAAGAATACATTTACTGATTTTAAATTGCATGCTAGATTCATTCGAGTAATTTTAACTAAGTTATCTAATTTATAGAATAAGTCGAATAATATGTTTTCTTTATTTTAATTATCAAAGTAATTCGTCAAAAAAAAATCTTAAATTTATTTTTTATTGTTTTTTGAAATTATTGGATAATTTAGATATAGAATATCTTGTGGAATCTAATCCAAATAATTTCATGAAAATAATCCAAATGAAGAAATTTACAAATGAGAATTTGAATTAATTTGATGATGAGATGTAAATAATTTTTTAACAGCTGGATAAGTGAAAATAATTGTATATTTTAAATTGAAAAAAAAAAAAAAAAAAAAACAAGTGGGGGATAACTGTCAATATAGAAGCCAATTACAGCTCTACTTCCTACACAAAATTGTTTTATTTGAGACTGACAATACTGATTTGTTCTCTTTTATCAGCCCCACTTTTAACCTTCTCATTTCCCTCCCTCTTGGAACACATCCAATTTTTACAATTTTACTTCCATAAATTTTTTTTTACCTTTTCTTACTTACTTCCCAAATTTGTGGAGATTTATTCACGACAATCTTCTCTTCGAATAAAGTATACTATTATAAGCCTTATGAAGCTCTCAAACTTCCCCTTTATTGAAATTCGACTCTGAATAAAAAATACACCCTTTTGTTTTATTCACTATAAGTCTACTTCCAGTGAAGCTTAGGAAGCTCTCGAACAACTTCCCTTTAATCGTGGCTCAACTCCTGTTTTTGGATCACTTGAACAAAATACACCATTTTATTCACAAACTTCATATCGAAAAAACATTTCTCACCCTTCCCAAACTCATCTCGAACCTATCTTAGATTATCACTATAGGCTAATATTACCTCAAATTTAAGAAAAAACAGGAATTTGAAATCTTCCCTTTCTTCACGCCTTACGAAATATTCAAACCTATAACTCGAACCGTGTGGCTTGTCTTGTCTTGTCCTGTGCCTGTCCTGTCCCAAATACATTTTTTCTTTCAAAAATATGTTTTTTTTTTTCTTGGGGTTTGTTTGGTTTAGTCTCAATCTAAACCCTAATCATTGTTAAACCTACCCCCAAGTTTTTGAATCACTGATTTGATTTGATTTGACTCTCCACTTTAGCCATATTCCTCTGTTTTGCAGAACCCACTGATTAAAATGTTAACTTATATAATTTAAGCTAAATATAAACAAGAGCGGCGTTGGAGGAATCGGTAGAACACGAAGAATCTAATCTAAACCAGTTGCCAAGCAGTTGATTTGATGATGTAGATTACAATTCTAAGGTACTGGGAATAATTTGGAACGATTGTTCATATTTTTCTCTGCAAGTTGTTGAATTCCGATGGCCGGTCGAGTTTGCTCATCACTGCGTTCTTGAAATTAATGGCGTCTTGAACTTGGGAGCATGATCTCTGCATTCGAACCCCACTAAGGCTGCTTCTTGATTCCATTAGTTCGTTCAATGAAACTCTTTTCTTCGATCCCGGCTCTGGCCTCTGTTTTGGAGCACTTTGAGATCTCAATTTCGCTTTAAACGATTGTGTATTCGCCATGTAACTTGGGAAATTCAAGTACCCTCTGAAGAAATTGTCGCCGCACATACTCTTCGCCGGCGTCGGAGGACCACCATTGGAACCACCACAGCTGACAATTCTTGGAGTGCTCTGCGCTGTCGAGATTAAACGGCATTCCTCAGCCACAAAACCCCAGTCGGAATCGTGGAAATTCCGACCATCTGGGATCTGCAATCGCGATGGTGTCCGACAAGGGAGTGGAGACGACAATGGTTGGTTAAATGGGTCGTCACCCAATTCCGACAACGACGTGTTCGTCCGGCGAGACATGGATTTGGGTCGGCTGGTGTCCATTTCCACGATTTTGGGGCTTTCTTCCAGCGCTGTAAATATCATGTTATCTAATGAAGCAGAGAGCCTTCTGCTATGAACTGAAGCAGTGTGTTCGCTGTTCGTATCGTCAAATCTCTCCTGAAAAACCCATTCAATTTCACCACTCATAAACCAAATGACAAATTTAAATAAGGTTTTGGGTGTTCACCGTGTTCTTGCGGGCTCGGATTTCAAGTCTGCGAGTTCTCTGAGACCGAACGGTGGCTTGAGCTCTGATTAAAGCTTGCATACTGAGAAGAGTAGCTGTTGCTTGTTTACGAACAAAATATCCCCTAACAACCGCCTGTAATTTCACCAGACCTTTCAGTGCTCTCAGTGCTTTCCTCGCCTAATTTCACCCAATTGTTAAAACAAATCCTCTGCTCTTAAAACCACTAAAAAACAGAGGAAACAGAGTCACTCACCAGATACCCTCTGAAGCAAGTTTGAATCTTTACAGACGCCCATCTTTCCCGCCCGCCGCCAAACATAGTACCTCTACCATGGCTAGTCAAGCGGACTACAGCCACCGCAGCTTGTGCTGCAGCAACCGCCGCGTCGGCTGCTGCGGCAGTGGCTGCAGCCACTGCTATTGCATGCTTGCTCTGTTCTTTATCTGTTTCCGAGTAGAAGGATTTCAACCACGCCGCCTCTTCCGCTGATAAATACGGCGGTACTGTGGCGGGATTATTGCAGAGATCGTTGTCGGCGGGGGAATTGGAAGTGGGTTTTGTTTGGTTGGAATTTTCTCTGTCTCTCTTAATCCCAAAGAAGTTCTTGAACCATCTTGTCGCCCTCCCCATTTCTCTCTTGAACAGAGAAAGAGAGAAGAAAGGGGGGAAAGGAAAAGATAAGATAAAGAAGAAGAAGAAGATGAAGTTAAGAACAGAGGAAACTGGAGTTGTTTGAGGGATTAGATTGTTTGAACGTTATAAGATAGATATCCTTATCGATGCCAGATTCGAAGGGGACGGGGGGTTACGTTTCTGGGAAAAAACCTTTTCTTTTTCAAAAAAATTAAATATAGTTTATATTATTTTCTTACATCTCGGGAATAATTGTATGTGATAATCATTGAAATTTGGTAACCAAAGGGGAATTTAATTTTTTTTAATAATTATTTTTGTATTTTCTATAAGTACAAAATTTGGTAGACGAATATGACTATCCACACTCCCTTGTCCACTTTTTTGAGTATTATTTCATTATAAACTCATGATCATTCCCAAAATTAGTTAGTGTGGGACTTTCATCATCCAACACCTACTTTCGAACAAAGTACACATTTCCATAATCGAGGCTCAACTCCAGGATTTACCAATCTATTGGCACGACTGAGTTTTAGGGCATGACTCTAATACCATGTTGATGAATATGACTCTCTACAATGATATGATATTATCCTCTCATGGATTTGCTTTTGGTTTCCCAAAATGCCTCATACCAATGGAAAAAGTATTATTGGATTATAAACACATGATCATTTCTTAAATTAGCCGATGTATACATTCATCATTCAACAGGTGACTCTAGCAATTTTAGAATTTCATAAATTAATAATTAAATCTCACACAATCACGATTAGCCATAAACTTTAAGTATTTTTAAATTTAAGGTAAGGTTATAACTATTTTTGAATTGATCGAGTTAAACGGAACAAAAAAAAAATGTCAACATGCAAATAAAATCACTTTTTTTTTTTCAAAGTATTAAACTCAACCCAAATTGAAAATAAAATTCTAACCTAATTTAACTTTTATGATTTCGGTCGAGTAATTAGAATGAGTCGGATTATCGAGTCATATGTGTTGGATGATGAAAGTCCCACATCGACTAATTTAGGGAATGATCATGGATTTATAAGTGAGGAATACTAACTTCATTCGTATGAGGCATTTTGGGGAAGCTCAAATCAAAGTCATGAGAGCTTATACTCAAAGTAGACAATATCATCCCATTGTGGAGAGTTGGGTTCGTATAACAATATAATATCATTATTATTACTTGGTTTAAAAGCAAAAGAAGAAAAGATTGTACAAGGGAAAATGTGTGTGTACTTTATGGAGCGACGTGCCGGTGGTAAAGGAAAAATACAAAGGCAACGCCTGAGAGAATTGTCGTCTTCTGAATTACCTCCATTTTTTTTCCTTTTTAAATATTACAATTTTTACTTTTTTTAAGATTAAAAAAAAAAAAAAAAACATTACATGTGTTTAGTTTTATTTTTAAGATAATTGTTGTCAACTTGTTCTTATTTAAAATATATATATATATATATATTAACAAAATACATAATTATATTTTAAGGTTAAGTTTGTTGGATTATGAAAGTCTCACCACTAATTTAGGGAATTGATCCTTTGTAACTCGATTGACATGAGACCTTTTGGGAAGCCCAAAGCAAAGTCATGAAAGCTTATGCTCAATGAACAATATCATACTATGGAGAGTCGTGTTTGTCTAATATGGATAAATGTTGGAAATAGTTTGTGTTCTCATCGGTATGTTTCACGGGAAACTATGATGTTTGGTTTGGGGTATTAGATAAAAGAGTAGAATATGTTGGGGGCATTGTATTGATTGAGCTGCATTGGGAACATCATTAATTTTTAAAAATATAATTATTATTTTTTTATGACGCAATTTTCTTCCTCTTTTACCGTACCCATATTATTGGTCAATGTTTTCACACACCACCATGTTGTTTCATAATCCCCTTTCTTTTTTTATCCTTTTCTCGCCTCAATTTCATATTTACCATCATGGGAATATTACCGTTTATACCATGTCGTTAACATCAATTACAAACTTTAAATATTCTTAATTTTCGAAATAATTTTTAAGATAGAATTGAGTTGATTGTAACTCTATTTTTTAGGTTGTTCAGGTTGATCTAACCAAAACTATATCAATGTACGAGCATACCATAATTTTGTATTTTTCAAAAGTTCAATCCAATCCAACCTTCATAATTTGGGTTGGATATTTCGGGTTGGTCGGATTTTAAATAGCCTTTTGAAATTTCAAATTTGTAGTATGAGACTGAAAGTAATACGTAACGGATCAAAGCGAACAATATTTGCTAGCAGTGAACTTGAGTGACTTACTCATAGTTTCTATAAAAGTCACGTGAAACATACTAAAAAATATGTGCAAATAAATAACGTAATCACATAAAATATTTTAGTCATAACATCTATTTGTATGGGAAGGAAAGGTAAAAAAGGGTGTGTGATGAACATCCTTTTGGACCCATTAACTTGTGCATCTCTTGTTGCACTCAAGAACAAGAACAAGAACAATAGAAGGTGCATCAAAAAGGGTTTAGAGGCAAGATGAGATAGTTGGCATGGAGTGAAGAGAAAGGCAAAGCCCCATATGAAGTAATGAGTAGGGTTTCCCCCATATGAATGTCCTTACGCCTCTTCCTTCTTGCACACTTCTTATGGGTTCAAATCCCAACCTTTTCAATTCAATCATCAATTTCTTGTTGTTTGTTCTTAAGGTTATTCATATACACTAGGAAAGTGATGATGAAGTTTGCAGCCACGAAGGAGATGGATGGACAGCCAAGTACGATAAATCATTTCAATTTCAGCTCTATCATCATTACTTTCTAGCCAGATCTCGATCAACTCACTGGATTGGGTTGGATTGAATTAGTTCAGTTTATGTATTGACATATAACAATGTAACCAACTTGAAAATAGGTTACAATCCAACGTCTCCTATTTTTAAGATTATTACGAAAATTAAGAAAATTTAATGTTGTAACGTGTAATACAGTTAAGTATGATTTTTCAAATTAATAAAAAAAAATTCAAAAACCAATTTAATTCGAAAATAAGAGGATTAAATTGGGTTGAGTCATTAACTTACTCGAGTCACCACAGACCGGACTGTGGTAGACTCAGCCACGGTTAACTGTAATGGGCCTAAGGCCTGGGTTCACATAACTGGGTCTTCAGTGATTCTTTGGGCCTGGGTGGATTTCTCATATTCCACCTATCATCTATTACTTAAAAATAACTAATATTTTAAAAGTAAAACGAAAAAAAATATAGATCAATCAATTTATAAAACTAGTTCAATAACATATTAATTTTTTTTAAAAAAAAATTAGACAAAAAATTAATTTCAATATTTAAATAATAATTTTATAATTTAATGTTTTACTTTTAAATTTTTTTAAGGTTATAAATCGGACATTTTTGAGTTTGGAATTTAAATATTTATATTAGGAAAGTGATCTCTGTAAAATGACCAAAATTATTTTATTCATCCCTATCTGTAGATCACGATCAACAATATGTTTTGTATGGCTAGAAGCTGATGAATCGTATCAAACCAACCAAATCATGTATTCTAATTGAGATAAGTTCCAAAAAAACAAAATAAATCGAATATCCTATAACTATTCAAAAAACGACGACATAGTATTGCTACTCCCATCTATTTTATCTCACAATTTATTTATTTATTTGCTCCTTAATTGTATTAATTCATTAAATAGAAATGGGATTATTTTTAATTTTAAATAAGTAGATACAAAATGCATGTAAATATTAATTTACTATAGTTTAATATTCATTAATCAATAATTAAAATATATTGGATTTGAAAAATTATTAGTTTCTATATTTTATTTATTAGTCAAATATTATGGGCTCTGATTTAAATCAGTGGGTATTTATCTGCAATTAATTCCACCTGACAGGATAAACTCATAATATATGGCCGTTAGTTTATCTATTTAAACAAAATACCAAAAAAAATAAATAAATAAATAATAAACAAAAACTTGGCAACTCACAGAAATTTATGACCATTGGATTAAAAAAGATAATGTATTTCAATCGACCAGTATTAAGTATGAACATGTTAACACGTAAATCACGATAGGAAAGGAGTGTTAGATGATGAAAGTCCCACATCAACTAATTTAGGGAATAATCATGAATTTATAATCACAGAATACTCTTTTTATTAGTATGAGGTCTTTTTGGGAAAACATAGTAAAAAATGTCGAACAAAGGACTCCAAAAGAAAAAGAAGTCTAGCCTCGATTAAGGGAAGACATACTTTGTTCGAGAAGAGGTGTTGGATGCTGAAAGTCTCACATACCCTAATTTAAGGAATGATCATGACTTATACTCAAAGTAGACAATATCATACAATTGTGAAGAACCGTGTTTCTCTAAAAGGAGGACACTTAACTTTTGTAGTTAAAATTGATCGCAGAAGTAAGAAAATCTGACCCTTTGGAACATGTCTACACATGGAAATTGATAATTTTAAAGGACAAAACCCATTGTTTATAAAATTTAATTAAAAAAAAAAAGTCAATAATAATAAAATAATATATTTAATTGAATTAATTTTATTAATAATTTTGGAGGGAGGAAAATGATAAGGATGAAGTTAACAGGCGGCAAGGAAGAAAAGTGGTACACGTGGGATTGCGAAGCTGAAATGCGTTCCCAAAAGCATATAAAATGGTATCGGTGGAGGACAGGTTAGAAGCGTAATTGTGAGTCAAAGGTTGTCCAAATTCTGAAGCCCAACCACAAGGACGTGATTCTACAAATTCAAATTGAAAAATAAATTTCAATTTTCTTCGCTTCATGGATTCCACAGCAATGTGCGCGATAAATTTCCATTAGGTAAACACATCAATCCATTTCTAGTTTCCAATTTCCAATTCCATTCGATCTGGGAACTTCCTTTTCCCTCTCTTTGATTCCGTTTCCTTTTTTGTTTTTCTTTTCATTCTCCATCGCTTCATTTTCACGCTTTCTCCAAACCAGAGTGAATCTCTGATCACTGGAGAATTTCTTTCCGATCGGAAATCTCAGTTTTTCTAAATCGTCCGGCTATTTCTTGCGATTTTGACCCCCTCAATCTATCTAATCTACTCTTGTCTGTTTCGAGATGAAGAAGGTAGTTGTGGGAACGGTTGTGGTCTGCGCCGCAGCTGTTTGCACGGCGGCGGCGTTGGTGGTGCGTCACCGGATGAAGAACTGTGGGAAGTGGACTAGAGCAATGAACATATTGAAGGAGTTTGAAGAGAAGTGTAAAACTCCAGTGGAAAAGCTGAAGCAAGTAGCAGATGCTATGACTGTGGAGATGCATGCTGGACTCGCATCTGAAGGCGGAAGCAAGCTCAAGATGCTTATTAGCTATGTTGATAATCTTCCTACCGGGTAATTTTATCTACTTTGTCCCATCCTGTTTAAATTGGTAGAACTTTTATGAAGCGGCTGTGTTTTTTTAGTGAACTTTAATGTGGAGGAGGCTTTGTTCTTATCTGTACTTGATTTCATGAAATTGAATGGTGAACTTTACAAGAACTCGTCCAAGAAAACTAGCAGTTCAGCTAGTTGAGGGAGAAATTTCACTCATTCGGAGTACAACAGTGAAAGTTCCCCATTATTGTGTGGGAATTAGCATTTCAGCTATACTTAAACACACTAATTTTATCTCATTACTTGCTGTTGTTTGATGTAATAACCATCTTTCCCTGCTGCAAAAACTGAAGAGAATATAGTCTCTCATTTTTCCTGTCAATCCTATTAGGGACGAGAAAGGGTTGTTCTATGCATTAGACCTTGGAGGCACAAACTTCCGTGTGTTGCGTGTACAATTGGGAGGAAAGGATGAACGTGTTGTTAGGCAAGAATTTGTGGAAGTTGCGATTCCTCCACATTTAATGACCGGATCTTCGGAGGTTAGTATTTTCATTAGCAAGTTTCATACGCTTAGACTCCAAATTTAAATTCTCAGAACTGAATGAAGAAAGTTTTTCAGGCCTTATTTGGTTTTATAGCTGAAGCACTTGCAAAATTTGTTGAAGAAGAAGGTGATGGCTACCACCCAGTATCTGGTAGGCAAAGAGAGCTGGGTTTTACATTTTCTTTCCCAGTTAGGCAAACCTCTATTGCCTCGGGGACACTTATCAAGTGGACAAAGGGATTCAACATCGAGGACACGGTTAGTACTTGTTACCTTGATATCTATCATCATTGTGTTGTTTAGTACAACCATGTCTTTCTATTTGTTTTGAAAAACGATTCACTATATATATTTACCCCTAAAAATGGAATCAAATTATACGTGAAGAACATTAGACCTGAAAGCTATTGTTTATAACATTTAGGGAACTTGTGTTCTCTTCGTGCATCTCTCTCTTTATGTTGGGGAAAGACATCTAAGCTTTGGCGTAATTGTGACAGGAAATTAACTAATAAGGTGGATGACTGTGTTTTTTTTCTTACCATTAGGAATTTTAACTGCCTAAAAGAATCCTATCCAATCGAACTGTCGTTGGATTGATTGAAAAGGAAAAAACAGAAAGAAATTTCCTGATCTGTGGTAGAACTGAAATTCTTTGCAAGCTTCGGTAACTTTAAGATTTCTTTATGGGAAGTTGAAATGAAACTGAGAAGGTTTTAATCGATATCTGATTTGCAATTTGGGTGGAAGGATAAATTGCTTGAGAAGTGATTTGGGTTACGGTCCTGTTGAAGTACTATTCCTCGTTCGTAATTTATGAATAATGCTTTCCTTTGCTAATGTAATATACTAGAAATTTTCAAGAACTCATGGTTGTCTGTAAATGTTATCACTGTACAATCTATCTAGTTTATGACTTCAAGTATGGTACATTTCTCATCCGTGGCATCTTTTCTGGATGATATCGATGTAGGTCGGGCAAGATGTGGTAGGAGAAATAACAAAGGCCATGGAAAAGATTGGATTGGATATGCGTGTGGCAGCTTTGGTATGTATATCTCCAAGTTCTTTAAGACGCATTGGTTACAATTCTGTGATGTGAATTTTCCCCATGATTTTTTCCCCTCATTATGTTGGACATTCTAACTAGTCTATCTGGTTCAGGTGAATGATACAATAGGCACTTTAGCTGGAGGCAGTTACTACAATGATAATGTTATTGCTGCCGTGATTCTGGGAACTGGAACAAATGCAGCATATGTGGAGCGGGCACATGCAATTCCTAAATGGCAAGGCCTTCTACCTCAATCAGGAGAGATGGTTAGTAAGAGTTGTAGCTTTTGACCTGTGGTTCTATTCATTATATTTTATGTCTGTTCCATATTTAACGTTCTTCCAAACCGACAGGTTATTAACATGGAATGGGGTAACTTCCGGTCTTCTCATCTTCCCATCACCGAATATGATCAAGCTCTAGATTTGGAAAGTTTAAACCCGGGAGAACAGGTAAAGCTCCTCTTTTTCTTTGAGCTATTCTTCTCGTAGTCTTCATCATTGCAAATTGCCAAATTGGCTATCCTATATATATATTATGTATCTTGTGACATGCAGATTTTCGAGAAGATGATATCTGGCATGTATTTAGGAGAAATAGTTCGCAGAGTTCTGTGTAGGATGGCTGAAGAAGCTGCCTTTTTTGGCGATGTTGTTCCGCCTAAACTCAAAAGGCCTTTCATTCTTAGGTATTGCTCTTTTGCTCACTTGTAGTGGTCGTGCTATTTGACCAACCTTGTTCTCTTGTCCTAAATGAAAAACAAATGAACAGGAAAAAGAAAACCAAATTTCAGAACCAGTTAACTTGCGATATAAATCTACGCCATCTAGTTTGTTGCTATTTTCATTACTTCATTTGTAAAATGGATGCATGTTGGTTTTTTGGAAACAGATCTAAAGAACCCTTGATTGTTGTGTTAAATTATTGTTGATATTTATGCAGGACTCCTGACATGTCTGCTATGCATCATGATACATCTCCAGATCTGAGAGTTATTGGAAGCAAGCTGAATGACATTTTGGAGGTTCGCATTAAACTCCCTTCCTGGAGCCAATTGATCGCTACTCTTGGTCATTTGAGTTTTTTTTTCGATTCATGATGTGAAAGAAAAACAATTTTCTCTTAGTCGTTTCATTACGGAACGATCACCAAAACTCATGTTAATTTGTTCTTTTGTGTCAGGTATCTAACAGCCCTCTCCCTATGAGAAAAATCATCTTTGAGCTATGTGACATTGTTGCCACTCGTGGTGCACGCCTATCGGCTGCTGGGATTTATGGGATCATCAAGAAATTGGGAAGAGACATCCCAAAAGATGGGGATAAGCAGAAATCTGTCATAGCTGTTGATGGTGGGTTATTTGAGCACTACACTAAATTTAGAAACTCAATGGAGAGTTCACTCAAGGAATTACTGGGAGACGAAGTTGCAGATAACTTTGTGATCGAGCACTCGAACGATGGCTCTGGCATTGGAGCAGCACTTCTCGCAGCATCTCACTCGCAGTATCTTGGGGTAGAGGAGTCCTGAAAACAGGAGTCCAAATCCAGCTAAGGTAGCTCAGAATAATGAAATAGTTCCAATCATTTGTTGTAAAAGAATTTGTATTCTTTGTCTTTACAGACTTGAGGTTATTTAGGCTCCTCGTTTCAATGACTCTTAAGTCGTTAATTTTATGGTTTGGAGCATATCATCTCCAGCAATGGGTAAATTATGTGGTAGATTTGCCTGCTAACACTCCCAAGATTTTGACATGGCTCCCTCCATCCTCATGATGCTGGAGCGGATGTCAATGGCATTGGAGCACAAGTTACCTTTGGCTTTGATATGGTTAATAAATGGGGACGAGGGGTTTTCCTCCTCGCCATCGTCTCCGATGAAATCATCTTTCCCCGAGTTCCTTTGCCAATAAATTAGAACCATATGGTTCGTCTGCAGGCTGTTGAAATCCTCCTTTTGAATTAGATCAATCCATCAATGGATGATAACTAGAATTGTCATCAAGCATACAAATAAAATAGTTCCTTTTTCATTGTTCTTTCTGGTTTCCATTTTATCTCATCATCAGTGTTCAATACTCATTTCCTTGGAAGAACGGTTCTTTCGCGCTGAAAGCCGAAACCGTTTGGCCCTGCTTTAGCTGAACGACTTCTCTTTTATCATCATTGTGGTTCAGCTAAAATATACACGACAGGGATCATTATTCAAAGTTTACAAACAAACCGTGTCGACCTGTCAACTCCATAGCCATTTCTGCTCGGAGCAGTGGCTCAAGTGCCGGGTCCTCTCCAGTCTCCATCACTGAAGAGAACCTTGACGGTTACATCTTTCAAGTAATCGTCATATCTCTCAGCTGAATCTATACTTTTTGATCTCCATGGTTTTGAGGTGCCATGGTCCGGCTGCGGACCAAGATTTGCAGAGCCTGGTTCATGCTCGGCCGGCTGGTTGGCGCACTGGAAGTGCAGATCAGTCCCAGTTTGAACACACTGCACATTTCATCAAGATAATGTGTCTCCTTCACATCCTCATCCAATGCTTCGACTATTGCCTTGCCTTGTTTAATGAACTCCCAAGCCCACATAGCCAGAGACGAGTCTTCATTGCCGGTAAGAGCTTCCTTTCCGGTCACCAACTCTAGAAGTATAACTCCAAAGCTAAACACATCGATCTTCTCGTTAATTCTTGGTATCTGGGCATACTCTGCAGACATAAAAGAACAAGCTTTTAGTTTTTCCTATTAATAATGTCTCATATCAAATTCTCTTATAGATTGGAACAGGGAAATCTCTTACCTGGAGCCATGTATCCGAAGGATCCCGCGACAGCGGAGACTGAAGCTGGTTCCCCTTGCTTCACCAGCATCTTGGCTAAGCCAAAGTCTGCTATTTTGGCATTGAAGTCTGAATCTAGTAAGATATTGCTGGACTTCAAGTCTCTGTGAATTACCGGCGGGGAGCATTCATGGTGCATATAACAGAGGCCCTGTGCTACCCCCACTGCAATTTGAAATCTCATCGGCCAATTGAGGGCGACACCGTGAACAGCGTCCGACCCTGCAATTCTTGGCAGTGAGTTCTTATTGTGTAGCCATTTGTCCAGGCTTTGCTTCTCCATGTACTCGTAAACGAGCAGTCGTGTACTTTCACAGGAAACGCAGCAGAGGAGTTTGATTATATTGTTATGTCGAATCAAACTGAGAATCTCAACTTCCGCCATGAATTCTTTCTCAAGCTTGTGGTCTGACTTTCTGCTGTTCCATATTCTCTTCACGGCCACCATATCGCCCAGATTATTAACTGGAATCCGGTAAACTTTCCCGGATCCACCGCTGCCGATCACGTTGTTCTCCGACAGCCCAGATAAAAGATTACCCTCCGAGAAATTCAGCCTCTGAAATGATGTAAATTTCCATTCAACATCTGCTTTGATTCCAGTTTTTGTATAGATTTTGATTATGTACAGAGCAGATACTACAAAGAATATGGATATTATTACGCCCAAACATACGATCAGAGCAAGATGCTGCGATGAAATCTTTCGCAAATTCTGAGTTCTTAAACTGCAGCCGTCCAGATTTAAACAAAGACCCGGATTGTTCAAAAAGCTTCTTGCATAGATTTCATTTCCAAATGCAGGCGGGATTTTCCCAGACAGAAAATTTGATGAGAGGTTGAGGAAATTCAAGTTCAAATTTCCCAGTTCAATCGGAATTGTTCCGGAAAGTCGATTCTCTGATAGATCAAGATCATTAAGGCTTGGTAAATTGCAAAATTCGTTTGGAATTTTACCAGAGAGATGATTTCGACTGAGTTTAAGGCTGTGCAATGATTTCCATGAAATGATGTTCCATGGAAGCTCCCCGGTGAGTTGATTTCCATCGAGCAATAGCTTGTTCATCTTTGAAAGGGCAGTGAGTTCTTCAGGAATTCGTCCTGTCAATCGATTATTGCTTGCTTCAAATTCAGTCAAATTCCAAAATGAAGATAACTCCGATGGGATTTTCCCTGAAAATTTGTTGTTACCTATTTGTAATCTCGCGAGATTCTTGGAGATTCTCCTAGGGAGTTCATCCATGAAAGAATTGTCGTTCATCATTACCAATGTTAAATTCAGAGACGTCCATAAACCGACCGGAATTTTCCCGGAGAAGTTGTTCTTATGAACATCAATAATGAATAAGCTATCGCAACTCCCAAGAGATTCTGGTAATTCCCCACTAAGATTATTGTCGTAAGCAATCACTCCTTTGAGCTTACCGCCGGAGCAGAGGTGTTCCGGCAAGTTTCCGGTGAGCTTATTTGAACTCACCTGAAAACTTTCGAGGATCGAATTTCGCCCGAAATCTGGCGGTAATGTACCGTTTAAATTGTTGCTGAATAATCTGACATCTGTTAATAATGGAAGACGACCGATGCTTTCTGGGATTTCTCCACTTAACTGATTTAAACACAGAAGCAGAGCCGTTAGTTCCTGTAGTTCGCCGATATCCGCCGGAATTCTTCCGGTCAGGTTATTTTCCGACAGGTCGTATTCGGTGATTTTCTTGGAATCAATCCGCTGTGGAATTTTACCTGATAGATTGTTCTTGTAGAGATAAACGATGCTGAGATTCTTCAATGTAAACAAACTGCTAGGAATTTCCCCAATCAAATGATTCTTCGACAAATCCAATCGCTCAAGGGCGGTCAAGTTTCCGATCCATTCTGGAATTTCACCGTTAACGTTTGATTTTGCCATCCACAAAAACGTCAATTTCTTCAACTGGGCGAAACTGGGAGGCAATTCAGCTGGTAGCAGATTTGAATTATAAGCCAACAGCAACTCTTCCAGATTCGATAAGTTGCCGATTTCAGATGGGTAAGTCCCATTGAATTGATTCATAAAAAGATGAAGGTACCGGAGTTCCGACAACCGAGAAACGGCTGTCGGAATGTCACCGGAGAAGTTGTTTGCGCCAAGGTTAAGAAACTGGAGACGAGACAAGCGGTCGATGTCATCAGGAATCGAACCGACAAAGTAATTCTGTGAGAGGTCGAGGTAATTAAGGTTCGAGCAATTGTAAAGCGTGGTCGGAAAGCCGCCGGTGATGAAATTGTACTGAAGATCAATAAAGGTGAGATTTTTGAGGTCGCAAATGAAAGGGGGGAAGGTTCCGTTCAAATTATAGGAAGGGAAAAGAAGAGCAGTGACGGAATTGTTAGTACACTGAACCTCCGGCCATGTACAATGAGAAGCATTGGAGGAGCGCCAATGGTGAAGCGGCGGTTGGTTGTGCCAGAAGTGGTTGAGTCGGAGAAGAACAGAGTGTTCTTGTTCGTAGAGGTGGGAATTGACATGGTGGGAACAGAGGAGGAGGAGGAGGAGGAAGAAGGAAATGGTTTCCGGAGAAGAAAAAGATGTGGTCATGTGGAGAAGATGATGAAAGCTGTTTGGAAGGTGTTTGGCTATGGCGGAAATTCTCATAATTTTGATGTGTTCCCAATGTGAACTCCAGTGTGTTGCTGCGATCCTACGCTCTGTTAAATTTTGACGACAATTTTGTACTCCATCTACAAAATAATTTAATAATAATAATAATAATATATATATATATATATATATATACCTTAATTTTGAATGGAAATTAGTGGTTATTTATTTTTAAAAAAATACTCTTTAAATGCCTATAAATATTTTTGGTGGGTTTTCAAAACCTTTTCTTTTTCAAGTTTTTTTTTTCCATAAAAAAATGGTCTAATTTTATTAAAATTATCTAAAAAATCTAAAATTTAATATCATGATGAAAATTAAATTAAATTTTAATTGATTTTCAAGCAACTTATTTTCAGAATTTTTATACTTAAATAAGCATTAAAAAAACACTTTTAATTAAAGGCTCTTAAAAAGTTTGAAGAGTCAAACTTGACAATGAGTCAACACAACATGTTTATTATTCAAAACCAAAAACCAAGAAAATTAAATAAAAAATAGAACAAGGGTTGGAAAGTTCCCTTTCTCCCTTCACTTTCACTTCACGATTCCTAATCTTTTTTTTTTTTTTTTTTTTTTTTTTTTTTTTTT